CCGAGAGGCCTCTCAGTTGTTAAACTTCTGGATCAGGTGAGGCTGGACATGTCTGTGAGGGATTGTGTTAGTCCATAAGTGCCTAGCCCGCTGTGGTGGTTCCATTCCCGAGGCATGTGGTCCTGGGCTGTAGGACTGTGAGCCTGAGATCAGTCAGTAAGCAGTGTTTTCCATGGTTTCTGTTTCCAGCTCCATTTTTGAGTTCCTGCCCTAACATCCCTTAATGCTGGACTGTAACCTAAAAGTGTAAGCCAAATTTTCCTTTCCTTCCCTAGGTGGCTTTTGATCAGAGTGCTTTATCATGGCAACAGGAAGGAAACTTGAATCATGGGTCTGCCCATTTAGTTAGGCCAGTCTAGGTGATCCCTCTCAGCGTGCATGCTTGTTGTCTCTTGGTCCTGTCCAGTTGACAGTCAGGGGAGCTCCTGTACATTTGTCGTTCTTGAAGAGTTATTTTTTTATTTATTATGTATTCAGTGTTTTGCCTGCATGTGTCCCTGCAGGCCAGAAGAGGGCACCAAACCCCATTACAGATGGTTCTGAGCCACCATGTGGTTGCTGGGAATTGAACTCTGTACCTTTGGAAGAGCAGGCAATGCTCTTAACCTTTGAGCCATCTCTCCAGCCCCCATAGTTGGCCATTCTTAATAAAGTTTACAGATGTGAAAGTGAGTGTCTTTCATATTATGGCTAGAGAAGATGATCTTCAGCCAGTTCTGAGCCTCCGAAGGTTTCAGAGTTTCAAGCTTTGAAGCGTGCACTTGGCGGTGTCGTGCAGAAAAAGACGAGGTTGTGGCCATGGACAGCTGCTCAGAGACCTGGTTTATATATATTACTCTATGCTGTGTGGCTGGGGAGACGTGTTTCAGCGGGGGGGGGGGGGGGGGGTTCATACTGAAGTCCAGCTGGCCTGAGTTTCCTTTCTGATGAGCTTTATCGGTAGAGTTACAGCGAGCAGGCCTTCAGGTCCACAGCCGCTGTCACAGAACAGGGGCACTTGAAGCGAGACCTGAGACGTCCCAGTTATCAGAATCACAAAGGAAAACTTAATATTTTCAACGTGCTCAATAGGGAACATCCTTATGTTAGTCTGAAATCTAGCACCTGTGAATGTCTTCCAGGCGAAGGAAGCCAGCACCCATTTGGAGCCATGAATATTGTGCGGACCCCGTCTGTGGCTCAGATTGGCATTTCGGTGGAGCTGTTGGACAGTCTGGCTCAGCAGACTCCTGTGGGCAGCGCTGCTGTGTCCTCGGTTGACTCCTTCACGCAGGTAGAGCTGTACACAGGCTTTCCTCCTTTTTCTGCCTTCTCCCCCGTTACGGTGTAGTGACAAATTGTTTGTCTTCACGGTATTTAAGACAGTGTTTGGGTATATTGTACTTTGTGAAGTACCCAAAGCTGGGTGGCATGTCTGTGATGGTGCACTCTTCCTTGTGGAAGCATACTTGAGAGCTGATGTCTTAGCAGATTTCAGGTATCTTTTCAATGGGTAATCTTCCGTTGTACATTAACTTTGTACGCTTTGACCAACACCTCCTGTCTCCCCTAGCCTTCCACAGCCACCATTCTCCTGTCTGCTTCCATGAGTTCATTAGCTTTTTGAGCTTTTAAATAAAGCACTTGTACTTTTATTGAACATTTGATTTTGGAGTATTTTAAGTACGTGAAGTACAGAGAATAAGTTAGGTATTCCACGGATTTTTATTACGTACTTATTCAGTGTCAAGCATTTTTAAAGTACAAATAGATACAAAAAAGTAGGCAAAATAAAGTAACACCTGACCTTGTAGACTTCTAAGCCCCCTACTTCCCAATTTGTTACATTCCCTTATCTACTAATTTCTGTGTTTCTCCCTCCCTTTTGCGTATATTTTTGTTTTCGGTTCTAATTTGAGCCCAGAGTCTGCAAGTATAAATGATACTACTTTGATATACTTCTCGAGCCATTCCTTTTCAAATTCTCTCTCCTTTTTTCCCTTTTTTGAGACGGAGATTCTACGTGTAGTCCTGCTTGTCCTGGATCTAGCTCATGCTGGCCTTGAACTCACAAAGATCCACTCGCCTCTGCCTCCTGTGCTGGGATAAAAGGTGTGCCCCACTGCCACCCGGCTTTGCTTTTTCTTTTCTTAAAAAATATTTTTTTCCCTATGGTGAATTGGTTATTTGGGCTTCTTATGTAATCTCTTTGGATTCTTTTCTTTTACAGTTGGTATAGAAGTGCTTTTATTCTTCATCTGTGTTGAATTTCTTTTTTTTCTCCTGGCCCATTGTTTTACAAATTACCCCCTCCCAGAGTAGTAACACCTTTGTCTTGTATTATGTCACATATGCTCAAGTATGTCTTGGATTCCTTTACTCCAGGTAGTTTTTTTGCCTGCCTCTTTGCACAAAGTTTTGTCTTCTTTTTTTTTTTTTTTTTTTTTTTTTTTTTTTTTTTTTTTTTTTTTTTTTTTTTTTTTTTTTTTTTTTTTTT